TAAATTAAATTCAATGAAAAATGTGTTTCTCTCCCATCCCACTAGTGTCTGCATTTCAAAACTGCAATGAATGGTTTTATCTATTTCATCACGCTTTCAAACAGAACTGCTGATGTGAAAGGACAAACATTCCACAGATTAATTTTCTCTGTATGTTATGTTCAGAAAGATTGATGCATCTGGGAAGAGCTGTGTGTTAGCTAACATCCTCCAGATATGGATTTACTATGTAAGCAGTAGAACTGGACTATAGGTTTCACTTTCATTCCCAAAGCATATGGCAAATGAAAGGGGGCTGCTATAGCTGCTAGGAAAAACCCACAGTTCAATTTGAGGTTTCCTCAGGAAAAAAAATGAGCTTCTGGGGTTGGGTCATCGGTCAAATGTTGACCGTTGCTGTTTGATGAGCCACACTTGACAAGCAAGTACAAGCAGGGATAGATCCTACGTCAAGTTAATGGATCAAAAGACCTCATGGTTTGGGAAAGGTTGAATACTAAGTTTGTAACTCAGTCTCCCAAGAAAAGTTTTCACGGATATTTGGACATTTAAAAAGATTGCAGGGGAACCATATTAAACCACTAAGTATCTTAACAGATTATTTGCTCTACTTTCCACTAATAACTTTTAATTTCCTTTCATTTTTCCAGTGAGGTTAATAGTACTCTAAAAGGATAAGCAACTCATGTTTTCTGGGGTTCCCTGAGTATTTTGATTTAAAAAACAATCATATAATCCTATACATATAAGCTTTGCAAATAAACCTAGGATCTAGGCATTGACTTCTCTCTCTTTCATCAGCATTATGAATACATAGTTATTAATAAAAATTCATCAGCATATTTTGCTGCAGTTGGGGAGAAAAGCAACCAGGAACCAGCACAGGCTGTCACAGCTGATTACTAATTACATAGGTAATTACTATTACATCCCATAGCTAATTACTAGAAGTAATTAATAAACATAAATACAAAACACTTCCTAGAGAGCCATTCAAATTCAAAGGATTTTGAAAATCTTACACTTTATTATGCACGGACAGTAGTTCTGACATTTATAGTCATAACAACATAGCTGCAGCAAATTTCTACACACAGACAGAGTTTACAATTCTTCCTTCACAGGGGAAAAGAAACCACCAAATCAAAACACAGGCCCTAGAGCCAATCAACTGAAAGACTAAAGATTGTTGGGAGTTGCCAAGTCTATTAGCCTGATGGAAATGAGGTTGCTGTAGCTCCCTATTTTTAATCCATGATTCAGAAGCAGTAATGAGGCTAAGTATGTGCTCCAAGGAGGTACATGCACACATGCAATGCATACACACAGCAGTGACACATGGATAGAAACACTCAGGACTCAAGCACAAATGGCATAAACAGCCTCATCCTCCTCTGGCTGATCAGGATGAAGGATGGTTTATAGCTGGACATTACACACATACTCAACATGCTACATCCCTCCTTTAATATGCATTAGGCACTTGGTCTATCCAGTAGCTAGCATTTGGATCCCAGTCTTCATGCTTACTGGCACCTGGCCATACATATCCAACACCTGCAGTTCCCCTCCAGCTGCAGGCACAAACTCCGTTTTAACCCTGGACACACTCACACATCCCCGCTCACTCCAGCCCACTATGGATCCCCCAGTAATGGGTCTTACACATGGAGCGTATCCAGTAATGGGCCCTGGAGCCCTTGGGCCCCGAATGCCCAATGATATCCCACGTATACATTATAAACCCCCAGTAGCTGGCTCCCTGGTCTCCCCTTGCCTCACACACAGAGACACGCATATGCAAAAAGGCCTCTCACTTAACCCACAGACCATACAGTCCCCCCAGACTGGTCTGGACCTCTTAGCTGCTCCAAACACTGAATTCTGAGATCTCTGATTTCTCCAGTATCTGGCCCAGACTTTTGGCCACCTGGGTACCTGGCACCCAAGCCACTCATTCAACTCAGTGGCTACACCAGCCTGAGACTCGGTCATGATCCCACACTGACATAAGCACCCATACAATATGTACACACTCTGTGCTCTCCAGTTTGCTGGCACCACAGACACGATGGCCTTTGTGACCCATGGTCATTCACCTCCAGTTGCTGGCACTTAAACTTCCACACACACATGCACACAGATAGAGCCTCCTTACTGAGGAAATAGTTAGAAATGGAGCATAATAAGATACGATAGATGGTGCTGATCAAGCACAGAGCATGACCAGATAACCAATAAGAGCCTGTTTATATACCATGAGCCCCATTTATCCCCTTATCCCCCTATTATCCCTTGCTCTTCACTCCCTAATCCATCTTAATCCCTCCCTCTCCTGTTTAGAGGTCTTTCCTCTAAACATCCAAGTCTAGCGCAATACCATAAGGCTTTTCCCTGCATCCTATATAGGCAGTAGCTCCCTCAGCCTCAAGGGTGATCAGGCAGCATCTCCTGTGGACTTCTCATGACGGGTTTCAGTCCTGGCCCATGGGGCTGAAGCTCTCCCAGGACAGCCGCTGGAGGAGCCCATGCTTGAGTCTCTAATTACCACACTGGGGGTACTGTCCCCACAATGCACTTCTGTCCTCCTTTGGTTGTGGACACAAGTTTGTAATTTGATGCTGGCCCACTGTTATATTTCTGGTGTATGAGTTCTAAAATCCTATTTATTCTAAACTAAGCTCCTAAAAAATCTGTAACTTTAAAGTCTTCAGATAATAAGTTGTTTAAAACCAAGTTTAGACATCACTAAGCCAAAAGCAGAAGACTTCTTAAAATGAGTATTCATGCTGAGCTATGAAAACTTGATGTCTGCTTCTGATAGCTCCAAGAAGCTTTACCTATAGCCATAAAATATCCTTAGGCTTCAAAACATTACATTCAGTCATGAATGCCAGGTTCTTTAGCTTTCTCTTTTCCCCTGGTTTGTCCCTCCTTTCTTGTAAAGGAAGCTTGTGCATGTCAGTGTAAATTCAGAAAACTTCCAGATAAAATAAAATTAAGATGGAATTGAACAATTGAAGCCTTAGGAAAAATAGGTCACAGAAAGGCTTGCAAATTCAGAAGACTGATGTTTTTAGAAAATAAGTCTCAAAGCCTAGAAATTCAAAGTGAAATTTCATAGTGAAACACTCTATTCTTCAAGACTTTCCCATCCTTTCCAATATTCTACTTCTTCCCATTCTATCACGACAAATTAAATTAACTGCTATTCTGCAATTATAAAAGGACAAGTTATCAAATCAAAAAGCTTTCCCTATTTTTTTTCACTGTTTCACTCTACTTACCTCCTAAGGTATTTATTCTTTTGCCATTTTAATAATTATGGTATCAGAATAATTTTCATTTTCCACAGACATACTAAAAACAGTTTACGTTCATAAAGTGTTATTAAATGCCTTTCAAAGCCTAAGACTTGGGAAGTGAAAATACACTCCTTCTTTCTTAATAACATAACACCAGTGATATAACAGCACTCATTTCTTCTGTGATACAGACCTGATGATACTGAGAACATACACTGTGATCCTCCGCTGACTGAACAGCAGCTCCAGACTACAAGTTCCACATCATTATAAAAATAAAAAATATAGACCATCGCCTCAGAGTGCTAAAACAGAAGTAGAAACGCAGACCAGGGTTCATTTCTAAGAAAAAAAAGGGCACAGAGAGCTTGGGCATGGTACCACTGATTTTCCATACCCCTTAGTTGTTAACATGTACCCAGAGTGGTTTTAGCCTATTCCAGCTCTGCCAGACTGTAGTCACACATGGGTGGGTAAGAGGCGTGCCAGCAGTTGTTCCCTTAACAAAGTATTTATGAACAGGCCTGCATCTGGATTGTCTCCCAGCACTTTACACAGCCCTCCAACATGATCCTATTACACTTTGCACAATTAGGCCTTTCTAACATGAGCTCACAAACTTATAAAAGAATATAGGCTGAGAGAGATCTCTGGAGGTTACCAAGTCCAGCCTTCTGGTCAACAGAAGCCCTACCTCAAAGCTAGCTGAGATGGCACAGATCCACTTCTCTTGTAATGAAGCAAGCATATACCTCCACGTTCCACAGAGCTTAAGGCATGCAGCAAAGACATTTAAATTTAGAAACATTACAATGGAAACTATTTACACTGTACTAACTTCACTTTAGCACATTTAAAAAAACCCATTATTCTTCCTTAAAGTTAATTGCAGGGATCACTATTTTTCATTCTTTCCCCTCAGTATTAAAGCTTTGATGTAGATAGGCAAAACCAGTTACAAAATTCAGATGAATAAAGTACTTTCTTAAATCATCTTTCCTCATTATTAAGCATATAAATATGTACTGAAAATATAACTTCATATTAATATTTAAGATACTGCTCTTCAGAAAATCCAAAGCTAGTAACAACCCTCATCCCCAAAAGAGATTTCTTCTCTCTTTAAAGAAATCTATTTGGATTAATTACACATAACTTACACTTTGTGGAAAAAAAAGGAAAGGGCGATGTATAGAGCTTCAGCATAAAAATTGCAGCTCATTTTACTTCTTGTATCTTAGAACAACTTTTCAGTGAAATGGCAATTCTGTGGTTTTATAAATACACAAATGATATTAATTTATTATGGCATATGTGTTGAAGAACATATTCAATAACCCACCCAAGCTTAACCTTCAGGCAAAACAAAGCACTGAAAACCATTATGCATTGGCATACTTGAGTCATTTCCTACAGAGAGGCTTCTAAAGATGGGAAAAATGCTATTCCAGTTTGTCTGAATGGCTTGCCTCATGGCATAATGCAGAATTAATTCTGTGCATACTAGGCTCATTTTTGTATTCAGAAAAACATAACAACTCTTAATTTTCATTGTTAAACCAAGAAGAATATAATATGGATTAAAAAAAATAAAATCACATTCACCTGCATTTTGTACATTGGATTTCACCTACCGGACTTAATTAACTGCAACATATTAGTGAAATCACACTGACAGAAATATAAAATACCCACCTGTTTTAGGGTCAACAGAAAAGTATGGCTGTCCCTGAAGAATACTGTACACTACTCTGGCACTGTTTCCGTATGTAGGGTCATCTGCATCTGTGGCTGTCACCTGTAGAACAGATGTACCTGTATGTACAAGAAAAAAAAAAATAATTGATAATAAATGCAATTTTCTGAAAAATAAAATATTTTAGATGCATTTTTTGAGCTTTTGCAGTCCTCAGATTGTACAATTAGAGAGATTAATAACATTTTCTCTGTATGTTGTTATCCTATCATATTTTTAAGGAAAACTATTTATATTAATTTGCAAAACCACCAAATTTTTATCTCTCTATATAATGTATATGTAACTTAATTACATATATATAACCTTAAACCAGTAATTACATAGCATGTATATGTATGCATATTCACACACATAGATTCTAAATTTGGATATTGCTTAGATTTCTGAACAATTCATATTTATGGACTTCAGGATTCTCTTCATCCATGATAAAAATTAATCTTGAAGTACATATTTAAAACATTTTGCATAAATGTCCCCAAATCAATAAGAGACTAAGGGAAATCAAAAAGACTACCTATTGGAAGGCACCAAAGATCTGAAAATTGAATAACTGCTAGAACCTTTTTGGAATTCAAATGATGGGTCCAGATTAGAAAGATAAGGAGTTCAAAAGACAGATATTTGTATGCTGTTATTATGTACCATTACAAACATAAAATCACATTTTCTAGCATGTCACTAAGTAGAATAACTTATGAGTAGCATTTCTGCAGGAAATAAAATGCAAAAGTACTGCACAGATAGAGACAAGTGATTTTACATTTTACTGTATTTTTCAAGACATTTAATGATGCATCTTTTTTGCTATCACAGCCCAGTACTTCACATAAGAAATCATTAAATGAAAGATGGCAAGTTAATAAAGGTTCAGTCTTCATCCTTCTTGTTTATCCTTCTACAGACACTGCCTTCTACAGACTCTCTTGGCCCAGTACTAAAATGCAGGAATAATGGCAATAGAACAGGCTACTCTCATGTTATTTTCCACTTGAAAGTGGCTTCTCAGTTAAATTAACCACTGAGGCATCAGCTCCACTCTGGGGTGTTCAATTTCACATCTTAGTTGTGAGAAGTATGCTTTTGAATTGACTCCCTTGATCTCCCCTACTTGTCATACTTTGATTTGCCTCATGGAACAGTTTCAGAGCATGCTAACCAGATTCCTTTGGATAAAACTAAACCAAAAGATGTGCTTTGGCAGCACATATGATTTATTCTCACTGCTAATGGGCATTTAGTCTCAGAGACCAGATAAGAGCTAATGTGAAATAAGATTTCCCCAAAACATATGGTGCGGACATTGGATCCTCAGTACCAACGGTTTAATTTCATAGATTGGTTTCCATTGCACAGAACTGTTTGGTACTGTGCACACTCTCAGTATACACTGGGAATATAAATATCTAAAATTGCAGAGTCTGACATCAAGTACAGCAAAGCAAGCAAGAAAATATACACAGATTTGGATTTATCACTGTTTAAGAAGATATTCATTAATAATGACACTAACTTGGACACAAAAATTTGGGTTTTGTATCTCTACTGATGACTTGGTAAATGGTACAGCAAATGTGCCTGCATACTTCAATGTAGTGTCTTCTGGTCTCTGAATAGCCCAAATGCATACAATCTTATAGATAAATATATTCACACAGCACATACAAAGAAACCTTGGTGAATTTGAAGTGAAGTACTGTAATAAAATCAAGCTGGAGCTAGTAGTCTGTTCATAGTTATTCAGGAGTTAATGGTAAAAATGACTAAATTACCACATTTTGGTTTATGTGACAAGGTAAACAAATATGAATTAAAGTTAGTGCAATTTTCTTAAAATGTTCTAGGAATCTATTTAGTCATATTAATTTGCTATTTAAACTTAGAATAACAGTTCCTGCAAATCACATCAAGTCACTTCAAAGAACAGAAAATGTGGGTTTTTTTTCCATATTCTCCAGATTATCTAAATACTGTAATGGTATGTTTCTATAGCCCAGTATGGCAGTAATTTCTAACTTGAGGTGAAAAAGCTGTGACCTTTCTTTCAGTTATAAGCTTGCTGTATTCAAGGATAAAGGCCTGTCGACAATAATTTATTCATGGCTTCATTATTATATGTTGGAATGTGTGGAATCATTAAAGATAAACAGGTTACTGGTTTGGTTTTTTTTAATTGCATATGCTGTGGTTTAAGCCCAGCCAGTAACTCAGAACCACGCAGCCGCTCACTCACTCCCCCCATTCTTCCTCCCCCTGCTCCTGGACGGATGGCGAGGAGAATCAAAAAAATGTAACTCCCACAGGTTGAGATAAGAACAGTCCAGTAACTAAGGCATAACACAAATCACTACTGCTACCACCAATAATAATGATGATAAGGGAAATAACGGCTGAACCCAGGACAGCATACAACAAAAACATGCTCATCCAATAATCAGTCAGTCACCTACCACAGTTTGCTACACAGAGTGCTGGGCAACTTCTGTACCTTTGAGTTTGCATTTGCACTTTTTCCAGTTCTAGATAATCAAGGTAGGTTTGGGAACGGATGAACAGATTTTGGCTATTCCAAAAGAAGAAAATACCAGAAATACTGAGATTTCATGGTTCTCTCATTCTCCTCTCCTCCCTCTTCTCTCTCTTCTCTCCTCTCAAAAGGCAGGGGATAGAATCTGAGTGCTCACTGATGTGGGACAACGAAAGAGGCCTACTGAAAGGCAGTATCTCACATAAGCAACAGACAGGTCATTTTACCATGAATGGAATGCTATTATGCTTTAAAATCTGCCACAGTGATTTTCAAGTACATCTCTATCTCTCTCCTAAGGAACACCTGATAATAGTAATTTGGTACTGCACAGTGGTGAAGTGTTCTCTTTCTACCTAAAAACCACTTAGAATCACAACTTTAACTCAACCCCCCCACCCCACCTCTCAAACCCTCATTTAGTGCAATGTAGCTCATCAGATGCTTAACTTTTCCACTGTAGTACACAAGCACTCTCATCACCTTATAAGATGTATCCATACTGGCCTTTTGCCTATCTCTTGCCTGATTTACTCAGCACAGAGAAAAGGCAGCTTGTGAAAGCTATGGGTTAGAATGCCTTGTTAGAAAAGGTAACGTACCTTTAGCTTCCAATTACTCCTTCCAAAGTTAGCATAATTCAGCTACACAACATGACAGACAAATCGTGATTCCAAATATATTTGTACCATTCAGATGCAGAATCAGTTTTTTGCTGTTGAGACATGTAAAGGATTCAGATGGAAAACTATATAGTACAGCTGCCTTGCTATTTTTAATGTTAACAATTCTGAGGAAAATAATCTAACACAAAAAACAAGGATCTAATTTCTCCAGAGACCTCAGAATGGATATGAACATCAAACCCAGAGGCATACCTTCCATACTTTCTTCACTAATCTACTGTGAAAGTGCCTGTCAAGAAAACCTCAAAATTTTGCTATGAAAGCATTTTGACACTCCAGTTAGGTAATAAAAACACTTTTCCCCAAAGTGGAGGCTCTGCTCACTCAGAGTTCAACAACTATTCCACATTATTTCCTGCTACAGTTTAGAGATTCCATATTGGGAATTCTGTTTTCTTAGCTAATGCTCTATAGAGAGCTGTAAAATATGTCTGTCTACTCTGAAAACCATTCTATAACCTTACCTTTTTTCTGTTATCAAAAATAAGGAACATTCATTTGGGAAACCAAACTGTAGTTTTATTTCAAAATCTCTTCAAAATCTACTTCAATCTGTCTCTCTGAAGACAAATTTCTGATGTATAATGGGGAAGTTTAACAAAGCATGTCTGTTGAGAATGCAAGATCTCTACGTATGATTTTCCATAGTTTGCTGCACTGTTAACAGAATGTTTTAGTTTAATTCTACATTAGAAAATAGTGTCTTCACCAGGAAATCAACGTGTATCTAGTGACTATATCAATTCAAGTCCTTGCTGTAGAAATTCACACTCTTTTTGTCAGATATCTTTATCATAAGATAAAAATCAAACAACACAGGAAGATAAAGAGACACATCCCATGCAAATCATATTTATGAACACCATGAATAATGCCTTCCAGATTATCTAAAATTATGACTACCTCACATTATAATACCCTGGAAAGAAGTTCAGAAAAGTCCAATTTACCTATTAATTTGTTAAGGAGAATTTATTTGGAATACACTTCTTATGCATGACTACATAGAACACTAGAAAATTTAATATGCTGTATTTCACTCATTTTGAAGATACCTGAATGGAAGGCTTTTGTTGTTTGGGGAAACAAACAAACAAACAAACAAAGAAAAAGCTTTCTTTTCCATTATATTAAGATAGAATCACAGGATGGTTTGGTTTGGAAAGTATGTTAAGACCATCTAGTTCCAATGCCCCTCTACACCAGTGATGATAATGATGACTCTTCTATAAAACAGAGCATAGATCTCAATGAAAGTGAGCTTTTTACACTGCAGAAGAAATAATTTCAGACATAAAAATTGGATCTTGAGCTAACTTTAAGGAGAAGTATCAAGAAGGCAAGAATTAGGTGTTTTCTTTCAGTTCTTCCAGCACAGTACGTAAAACATAAATAATATGTTCACTTTATGCCACAGGAAACACTGCAATCTAATATTTGGCAAATAATTTAACAAAACTTACCTGTACTTTCTTGCTAGTTACCTAAAAAAACCAAAAGCCATAAACATCCTACAGCTTACACAAATAGATCAAGGGTCAACTTGTGGTAAAAATCTCAGCTGTTTGAGGAGACAGACACGAAGCTGCTGATGAAATTAACAGCATAACAGAGATGAAAAATACCACCAGCTACTCAGCATGAGGGCTGTTACAGAGAGACAGTAGCACTGAAAGTTCTTTACATGACCATGAAATAAAGTGGAAGATATTTTTAAAGTACTGAAGCATCCTTAAGAATTCATACAATAACAACAAGATGTTCAGTGATGTATAGACTCCTCAGCTAATGTCAAAAAATATGCTTATTACAGAACTAATGAAACTGGCATAGGGATGTCCAT